GCATGTCCTCTAGAATCTTATTCAATTCAATTCAATCCTAATTACATGTGATGTTATATATTTATGTTCAGTATCTAACAAAGGATGTAGATAACAAGAATGTGCGGTGAACATCTAGGACAATACATGCCACAATGCTACGAGTGACATAATCAAATTTATATTTTAGACTGATTGAATGTTGAGAATAAATTGGGGTTGGAAGTGACAAAATAAGAGTCAAATTGAGCAATTGGTTGGCTACAGCAGCCATCCAGGGAAGAGCCGATGGTTGTGTGGACAAAGGCAATAATGGCAATGGAACTGCAAAGAGTTGGACGAGTTCCGAAAACATTAGGGAGACAGATGGTTGATGGATGGAATATGAGGGCTAAGGATGAGGTAGGGGAAAACTCAAATATGACACTGTGGATCAGTGGGGAGAAATGAGTACTGTTTTGGATATTTGACTTTGAGATGTCAGTGAGACATGACAGGAAGCTGTCTGTACACAGTCTTTAGGTGCAGGAGAGAAACCTTGCAGAAGATAAATATTTAGGATTTGGGCCGGGGCTGTGGCTCAGTGATAAAGCACTTGCCTCTCTCGAGTAAGACACTGGGTTCGATCCTCAGCACCACACAAAAATAAATAAAGATATCGTGTCTATCTACAACTAAAACAATAGGAATCAGGAGCATATAGATAATAATTTAATACATTGGGGAGGTTGAGATCACTGAGGGAGAGGGTATAGAGTAAGAAGGAAAGAGGGTGGAGGACAGTGATATGATTTAAGAGATGAGCAGAGAAAAGAGACCCACCAAAGAGACTGAGAAGCATTAGTAAAAGTCAGGAGGAAGAGCAAAAGAGTACCATCACAGATGTCCAGAAGCCTAGGGAAGGAGTGTTTTGAGGAGAGGGTGTCAATAATACTACATGGTGTAGAGAGATAAATTGAGAGAGAAACTAAACATAGCTTGCTTGTTCTAGATTCCTCTAGGACAGGACATTTTCTATTCCTATATCTCTTACTTCTTACCTAGTTTGAATGAGTAGACTTCTTTATAGTTTGGACTTATTCTTTTCCTTAGTAATATGGCAATAAAGTTGATACAATACCATGACATGAATATAAACCCAGAGGAAGTATCAAAGGAACCAAGAAGAAAAGTATTTGAGTTCTTGCCACATGCTTAATAATTCACATTCTTAATTTATTTGAATTAACAAAAAACCTTTTTGCACATCATGTTATAGAAGATGAACTTAAAAAGTTCAAGTAAATTCTCCATGGTGGTGCATAGCTCAGAAGTGGCAGCAGTAAGATTCAAACTAAGCCTGACTCCAAAGCACCTGCTCTTCAGGGAATGCTTCCATTCCTCTGATGAAAGTCTAATAGATGAAGCGGAAGAACAAATAGAAGTTAAGTATATGTTTGCTATTGGGACATTTTTGTTGAATTATAGTTCAGATTGAACTTCACCAGTTGTCATAAAATAATTACCACAAAATATACTTCCATACATATTATAGGTGGAGTCTATAATGTATTTTTTGAAAAGTAAAAAAAACCCTCCAAATATATTTCCAAGTACGACATTAAATTTATATTTTATTGTACTATCAAGTGTTTTGATCACTGCCTACTATGCTAAATGCAATGTACTTATATTTTACAAAGAATATGATGAGGTGAATTGCTTTTCTCCTTTATAGTTTTAGAAGAGGTCAATAGGAAAGGACAAACTTTTTTTCTTTCATACTAATAAAATTCTTTTCTACCACTGGAATGAAGACTGACCAAGAATTTGCTATTATTTTTTAAAAGATCAAATTAACTAGGAGTACTTGGGGCAATTTTAAGCCTTGTCCCTGAAAAGTTTGAGCTTTATCCCTTTTCAAATGATCCGCCTTCATGTCTATGTGCCTGGAGCAAGAGCATAAATAGAGGTCCAATTATCATAAATTTAACTATTTAGTCATGGATCAAACTCACACATTTTAAATAATATATTGTCTGGGGTCTTCCTTTGGCAAATATAGTTTTATAATAACTTAGAAGGCCAGGATAGGATTTTTGGACTCTTTGGTGATCTGCCCAGAATTTGGAGCCTCTCTGCTAATCCCCACCTCTAGCTGCATCCTGCATTGCAAGGGACTTCTAGATAATACCAACCTTAACGTGAACAAAACAAAAGTTGTGGCAGCAGTAAGATTCAAACCTAAACCTAACTCCAAAGCACCTGCTCTTCAGGGAATGCTCCCATTCTTCTGTTTCATTGGCCACCTCTTGGTTTTAGGGTTGCATACACAAATAGAGGTCTTCTCTTAGGAAGATAGACCTAGGAAGACTCCCACCCAGGTCCTAGAAAAGACTCTGGAACCATCAGGGCGGGACCATCCAGGACCCAGGTATTCAGAGTAAACTAGGAGTGGGACATGAGCTCCAGAGCAGCAAGCTCTATTTCTGGTTAGACTTCTTGGTTCTAGGGGTGTGTTGATGGAGAAGGGATAGAGTGGGGCCCTTGAGTGTGAGATTCAGGGCATGGGCCGCATTTTCCCTGATCTAAGAGGCATACACCACTGCTAAGGTGGAGGCAGAGTAGTTCTGATCAATCACTTTGTTGGTAGAAGAAGTCCAAGGAGAGAGATAACCAGTGCTTGTTCCTACCAAATAATAATGATTATTTAAAGAAAAGTCTATCCCTGTATAAAATTTCTGGAAAGACTCCCAGCAGATTCTTAGACTCTATCACCTTTCCTATGCATTGACATTTTAGTTTGGTGCTCACTCATCAAACTGTAAAATTGAGATGATTGCCTGAATTATTTCTTCATTGTGCTTTTCCTTAGCTTCAGTTATCTTGATAATTCCAGGGAGTGGAGTTCTCTAGTCTGCAGTTCAGACTTGCTGTTTAATTTCTTCTTTCAGATTATAGACTTGGTTTGCTGAATACATTTATGAACTCACCATTTTCTCTAGATTTAGGATATAAAAGAAGATAGTCTTTCTTTGTTCTATCAAGTTCCAAGTTATCTTTGTCATTATGGACAAAAAAATACAACTAAATAGAGTTAGACACATAAAAGTTCTTTTCTATGCAATGTTTCTTGATAAATACTGCTGAGAAGTCCACACATACACACACAAAAAAACCTTACTATAATCTCATCTTAATAATAATCACTTATTTCTTCCATAAAAGAGAATAAATTAAGTTCCTGTGTGGTTTTTAAGTATTGAATATAACTAAGGCAAAAAATGGATCTATAATATTACATTTTGTCAGAAAAGTCACTTGAAGATTGTTAAAAGTAAACTTGAAAATATTTGCTTATGCAGTGTAGGCTTTTTGAAAGTTATTTTTAAAGACTGAGGAATTAGGCACCTGTCATTTTTGCCAGCTGGTGTGGATGTTAAAAATTGCTGCCACTCTTCCGCCTGCTACTCTACTTTGCACCTGCTGCTACTTGAGTTCTGGGCATTTCACACATGGTAATTTAATAAGGTTAGGTCCCATGACTGTACGGCATGTTATCCCACTGGGGGTTAAAGCAGTTTTAAAAGGCCTTGAGGGACAAGTATTATATGTGGAGCTTGAGACTAACAATTTCATACCTTGTAGACATCATACTTTTTTAATTGAAAAATTATGAGGAAGTGAAGAAGATTGGACATTGAGCCACATATCCTAAAACAAAAATTAGTCTTTTATGAATAGATTATTTGTACTAGTTTCCTCTACATTGTGATCTTTGTAATTTGAAATATATATATATATAATTGTCTGGTATAAGACTTAAGTATATATTGAGAACTTTCTGTCTGTCACGGCAGTCATGAACCACATGTGACTATTTAGATTCAAAATTAAATAAGTTAAAGTAAAGTACAATTAAAGATTTAATTCCTCAGTTGCATGAGCCACATTTTAAGTGTTCTGTAGCCACCCATGGTTAGTGGTGACCACATAAGACAATACAGGTATATATTTCCATTTTCACAGAAGGATCTATTGGATAGTGCTGAAGGAAACATTTTCAAGCCCTAGTCTTAAGTAAATTTGGTCTTGAAAGTCATGAGGCCACAGTTCATTTTTCTTAAAAGAGTGATTGCAATGTCCCAACATCATCTTGGTCATGAAAACACAGGCTAAATTTGAAGTATTAGCTACTAGAATCCAAGGGACTTTTGCTAGAGGGAAGGAGCTTTTGACCTGAAACTCTCAATGTCAGAAAATGTTGTTTCACCTTCCAAAAATACATAATACTTGCAAAATATTACAAGTATCTTTTAAGAGAGGTAGGGGGGAATAATTTATCACTCATCTCTGTCTGATTATTCAAATACTACCTTTCAGAATCTGTTCTGAAGAAAAAGTGATATGGGATAGCGTTCTGAGATGATAAAGTAAGTTTATTATATAAACTTTTCCAATTAGTCTTACTATGTTTTTATATTTCTAAGACTGAATTGAGATTTGGGAACCCGGGCATGTAAAGAAGGGAGATCCTAGTAGGAGAAAGAGAGAGACTATTAATAAACAGGATCTTGGATCTTGAGTTCTTAGCTTGGGCAATAATCCCATCCCCAGAGAGGATTTTTTTTTTTAAACGTTAACAACTGAAAGGTCACTTTGAATTTTTCTTTTAAGACAGTCTGGGAGAAAGACCAAAGGCTTGCTAGTTTTCTAGTAGCTAGATTGTTACAAGAAACTAAATAGATGAAGCCATAATCACAATTTATATAAATCTGAAATCATTCTGCTTTCACCTTAAATTGCATGGATAGATTACATTAAAACATCTCTGATCCTATCTGAAGTTTTTCAGTTATTTTTTTTCACATTTTTGGTAATGTGTAATTATCTGTGTTATTCAAGTTGCAAATGCTCTGTAGACTATAATGATTCTTTAGTAAATTTATAATTCATCAACATTCTGTACATTTAACGAAAGATCTGAGGTTTCAAAAATTATTTTCACAAAGCAAGAAAATAAAAACAATGTGACTTGGATATTTCAGACTGACCAATATTGTTTATTGATATATTTTAAGGATGCCTGTTGACCCATGGTAGATAATAAAGAGTATTGCTTTGATATGAGATTGCCAATATTTTATTTTTGTTGTCTAGAGCAACAGACATTTGGTTTGTGTGGTATGAATATATTTCAGAGAAAAACTTAAGGTGTATAAAAATTCAGAAAGTCCTTCAGTCTAGAGTGATCCGGATTGCTTTTGTTTCTCTGAAAGATGGTAAACAGATATGGACAGTTAGTCATGGATGTTACTAAAAGTGGACTCCAGCCAGTCTTCCTAAACAATGCTTGTTCTGTAAAGGAAAAGGGAAAGCAAGTTAGATGTTGATCCCATATTTTCAGAAAGAAAACTCAGGAGGAAATAATGTGACATGCAAAAGAGGAAAAAAGCACAAAATAAACCAGTGCTTATAGGGTAAGCCACTTCTTTGTTGTAAGAACTTGGTTGCAAGTCCTTGAATTTGGACTGTTAAGACACAGTGCTTTAGATCAGTAATTGTTAAAGCTAATTTAGCTATTCAAAGGATGTAGGCTCATGATTTCATTAGCGTTGGGGTTCTAATAAAATTAATTAACTAGTCTTTAGTTAGTTGAGTCTCCACTGCTTAATCATAAGTGTAGTTAAGGGGGTTTATGGATGGAAGCAAAAACATCATAAATTTTGCTTGGACACTCATACAAGTATGTTTTATTTCTAAATAATCCATCTCAAGTATTTCAAGTTTTCAGGCTTATGAAGACAACTCTTAATTAGAAACGAATACTAATTATATCTACAGCATATAAAGTGAAGCTGTTAATTAAAAAAAATATACAGTATTGAGAAAGCTGTATATATTACAAAGGAACAGACATGTACCTTGAGAGCTCCGTTTAGATAGACATGATGTGCTTGACAAAAGCTGTCGGGGTAACATGGGTAGTTCAAAGTTAGAAAACAGTCAACTTTAATGAAAGAGAAGTTTAGATTGACTTTATTTTCTACACGACATCCACTTGTCTAAATCATATGATTGAATGATTCCTCTATGTAATGTGTTTATAGTAATAATCAAATGTGGAAAAACTGTTTACAGGAAAAAGTGAAGTTTAATAAAGATTGCCAGTGAAGATCTGTCTGGCTTGGTACTTTCCTTCTCCCCTTTCCTTCCCTCCCTTCCCCTTCCTCTTCTAATTCCTCTTCCCCTGCCCCCTGTGCTTTTCCTTTTATTTTTTTTTTTGCTTTCTCTAAGTTGTGGGCCTTGGTAAGTTTTTAAAACTCTCAACGTAGGTTTATTGAAATTAACTTAGTCCTCTTTGGGGATAGACAAATTTTTGGTTTTATTGAGAAATTTTAAATTTGCAAATCACATTATGCAACTTTATTTTGCATCTTTAGTTTCTGTGGTACATGCTTTTATACTCTTTGGGTGAAGTTGCTGTAAATGTTAGCAAGAAATAAATAATTCTCTACTAGAGGATGACTTTTATGTAAGCAAGAACACTGGACAAGGAGAATTAAGCTTTATTACTAGCCCTGCCATTAATGATTTGAGCATCATTAAAGCTCTTTGGTCCTCAGTTTCCTCATTTTTATAATTGCTTGGTATTAGTAAAGGACTTGAAAATCTCCCTAACTTTAATATACTATTACATATGATTTTGATGCAAAACCTGTCTATTTCAAAGGGACGTTGTGAAGCTCTAGCAAGGAAATACACATTAAAACACATTCGAAACTATAAAACAGTGCATAGGATTGCTAAAACATATTGGAATAAATCTCACATATATCTCCTCATAGACTATCTTCTTGGAGTTATGGGGTTGATTGATAATAAGTAACATATGGATATTAATAAAGAAGGAAGAGGAAATCAGTTTATTTTAAATAATTCAAAAGGATGCTATCAGCAACCCAACCAATAAAGAGGGACTAAAATCACCAGTGCACACTGATTATACCTTCATAGTTGATGCAGCCATTGGAGTCTTCTTGACCTGCCATCAGGGCTTCTACTTCTTCCTCTTTCATCTTTTCACCTATGAAACAAAACCCTTTTTAAAGAAATGAGGCAACAGGATATTTTCAAATCTACCATAAATGATGTACTCTTAGAAACTATGATTGAACTCTTGGAAGACAAAAACTATTCCAATTTCCCTCACACTCAGTAGGATGTCAATACATTGTTTTCAAATGACTTAACTACACATTATCCCTTGTCATCCAAACTACATCCTATAAGGACTACAATGTTTTCCTTTACTTATTCATTGGCCTCACTGTCGCAGAGGCCAATTGAAATAGTGATTGACTTTTGAGTATTCATTTTTCATGTTTTTTTTGTAGACTTTCTCCATACCTATTTTTGTAATTACATGGTTCTTCTGTGTTCTTTCCTATAAATTCTGTGCTGTTAAGTCCACTGGAATAAATGCTTACCCAGGGTGGCTAGTACGTGGCGGAGTTCAGCCCCCATGACTGTGCCATTGCCTTCCTTGTCAAAGACACGCAGACCCTCAACAAAATCTTCATAGGTTCCCTGGTCCTTGTTGTTGGAAATAGCTTGCATCATGGGTAGAAATTGTTCAAACTCAATTTTCTTGGCATTCATCTCTGAAAGAAATTGCAGTTTGGACAGTTTGTAGCCACCATAAAACATCATCTCTGAGTCACCAATGAAAGCTGAAAGTTCATTCCAGATGATCTAAAAGATCTTCACACAGTTTAAACCTCAGTTGGTGAATTACCAAAATGACAAAAATATGGCAAAAGGCAATATCATGTGTTCTGGAGTTCCAGTGCCAAACTTTATTCCCATTTGTTCCTGTGTGACACTGGGCAACTTTCTTAACCTATATGTGTGTCAATTTTTCATGTGTAAAACAGAAATACCTCAGAGTGTTATTGTGGGAATTAAATAGATAATGCATGTAAAGCTCATTGAAATACTTGGGACATGCCAGGCATGGAGATGCATGTCATGCCTATAATACCAGTGGCTCAGGAGGATGAGGCAGGAGGATCACAAGTTCAAAGCCACCTTCAACAACTTAGTGAGGCCCTAAACAACTTAATGAGACCCTGTTTCAAAAGGAAAACTAAAAAGGAATGAGGATGTGGGTCAGTGATTAGGAGGGTTTAATCCCTGGCACCAAAAACAAAAACAAAAAAACAACCAAAAAAATAAAACAAACCCACAATAACAAGAAAAATCTTGGGACAAATTGAGTGCTTAAGAAATGCTACCTACTATTTTATTACTATTGATAATTTAATATTTTCCATAAATACTATGGAAGCAATAAAAAATTATACTGGGATGCCACAAACACATTCCCATAGAAATATAGTAAAAATTAACTGTACTTTACTACATATTCTGCCTATGTCCTGAGCTTTGGCAGGGCCTTTGCTTTGTTTAAATTTTAAGTAATTTAAAAAAGAAGCTTATGAGGAAAGGGTGTGTGTCAAATACTTTGTGATCTCCTGACTTCTCTGCAATTTAGAGGTCTAGAGATGGGAGAACTTTCTTTAGTGTCTCTGACAAGGTAGATATCATTCCCAGTAAAAGTATAAATTAGACTATCCAGATATATGCAAATGGATAAAATTATATACTTGCAAAATAAAAATTCCCCAGTTCTTCTCTTGTAGAAGTCAAATACATTGGACAATATTAGAAAGATTGAATTTGAGTGCTGAATAAATGAGCATTTGTTCAATAATTCCATTAAAGATGGATGTTGGCAAGTCAGACAGTGACATTTGAAAATAAGGGTTAGACTATTGCTTTCCCACTTATTTCATACTCATCTGCTTTCTGCATGATTAAACTAGAAATTTCTTCTAAAGAAAATGAAGTCTGAGAAACAATTCTAAAGCAGACCAATTTAGAAGCAAGTTTTCTTGAAAGAAAGGTTCTTACCCTCCCTTTTTAAAATGAAGGAACATTTCTAAAACATTTTTAGTTACCAAGGAGAAATGTAAGATTATTTGCCTAACCCTCTTGTTCTTTTTTACTAATGGCAAAGATCAACAGCCCAACTATCTACTTGAGAAAACTTAACGTTTTGTATTCTGTTTTTTGTTCTTTTGTTGTTGTTGTTGTTGTTGTTGGTTTAGAGTCATATTTTCCAATAGACTGTCATACTTTGCTGTGAACCACTGAGGTTAAAAACAAATTCCTTGTTCCAGACTAATGATTGGATTTCTGTATCAAGTGAATGTCTTTTGCAATTTTGCTGTTTGTGTATTTCTCTGATTTTTGTTCCAGGATTTACCTTGGGAGACTGAATGCAGAGTTTGGCTTGAGATTTTTAAAGCTTTTAAAAAATTATTGAAAATAGAAAATGCCCTTGTTAAGATGTCTATCTATCTATGCTTAATTAAGAAAGCTGAATTTCTTTTGAGACAGGCACAGAAGCAGTGTTAATGATCAGAGCACAGGGCAAGGTCAATAGGTATTTTTTAAATCTCTTCAAAACATTGCAACTTTATTTCCACAGTTTTTATCAAATATTAGATTTTCTCTAGAAGTATGCCATTGTAATTTACCCAGAATCGTATACAAAGTCCATTGTATTTTAACTGTATTTAACATCTTTGTCGAAATGCACTTTTTCCTTTGAAGGTTTGAAGTTTAAGATAATGTGCGAATTTGGATGTTATTTGTTTCATTAGCTCTGAGATTATGAACATTAGATATGATAATAAGAATGATGTTCTTAGCATCAGACATTATTTGTTTTCATAAGCACAACATTTTATCATGCTTGCAGGTTCTCAAATGAAGGTTAACTTATTTTGCAAGGGAAAAAGATAAGATTCTAGATGGCTAACAGGCATATTTGCTACCATCAGGAATAAACTGAGCACCATTCTATGGAAACTATTATTTATTTCTCAGTCTCACACTTATGCATGCATGCTTTAGCTACACTTCCACAGATCTTGGAAGAATTGATGTGGTTACCTTCATTGCTGGGGTTCCCCAGAACCTTCTTGACCTCTGCATTGGTGGGATTTGTGCCCAGTGCCCGAAGGACATCACCAACCTGGTTTAAGGTGATCTTGCTATCACCTGTTTTGTCAAACAGGAGAAATGCCTCCTTGAATTCTGCAAAAAACAAGGAACATTAGGGTTTTTTATTTTTCTTTCTCAAACCTATTAATTAATCCTGAGTCCTTCAAGGATTTACTTAAACTCTTCTGTTTCACAAGTTTGCCAACCACTTAAGTTGTCATTGTCAAATTCTGTTTTCCTACCTCAAACAATCATTGTCAAACCTTTTTGACATTTCTTTTTGGAATTCTTTTAAAGCAGCATTTCTAAATTCTAGTCATATGTTATTGCTAATTAGATATGGAAATCAGACATCATAGTCATATTTACTCATATTTCCTTGTCTGGGACTGGGCTAAGAGATTCTGAGGCCTTGATAAATCCTAGTAATCTTTATCTAGTCCTTCATAAAATTAGCAAGATTAATACATTTCAAGAAAACAAATTTTTGATCAGGATTGTGTTATATGTTATTAACCCATACTTCTCAGATTATATAGAAAAGGCTTCTCTCAAGGTACAAATTTCTTAGGTTGTTCTCTCGACAGTTTTCTTCAGAAATAACTTCATTTTTCAAGACAAATTTAGAAACATGAGGCAGGCCTGTAAATTCTACAATGTCTAACCATTTCAATGTTTGATGCTAGCAGGCTCCTAGCATGACTAATTCAGAAGGAGAAATATTTTTTGGATCCAATGTTATAATACTCTCTTTACACTTCACTCTGTTTTTCAGATAATACATATGACAGCATGCTGCTATACCAGCTTTTGAATTCAAGTACACACTCTTTATTAAAATTTATGGAAATAATTGGTTCACATGCAGTTGCAAGAAATAATTCAGGGAAATTCCTTGTATACCTGGTTTTCCCCAATCATAACACTTTGCAAAATCATAGAATATTACTGTAACCAGGATATTTACATTGATAGGCCCCAGTGATTTTATTCACATTTCCCCAGTTTGCTTGTATTCATTTATGTGTGTATTAAGTATGTATTTTAAAGTGCTATTCTTATCACAGTCACTTATTTATTATTCTCCCTGTATTTTGTCATTTTCTTTTGATAGAACTGGTCTTGTCTTTAAAATTTACAATGATAAAGAATTTGAAAAATACATAATGAAAAGACAGGAAGGTGCAATACTATGAACATAGGGGACAGTAAGTCATTTTACCTGAAAATTCTAAACTTAAATCAAAATTTCTGGGAAACCCAGAACTACTAATGGTGACTGATTGGAGTTAATGTCAGTAACACTCAGAAAACCATTTGTGAGTGAACTATAGGGCTGAAAGCACTCTTTTTAGCTATCAGTGGTCTTAGGTTAAAAGATGCTATCTAGATAGATTACACAGCCAAATATCCTTTTAACTCTCTCTCTACCCCTAATCTAAGATTGTACCAGACACTGTATTCATGACTAGTTACAGTTCATGTTATCGCTCTTTGCTAAAATCCTATGCATTTGACTATAATGGATTTTTTAAAAAAACATGCTGCAGGCCCTATGGTGTCATTAGTCAAATATTATTTTTCATGTTTCTAAGGGACACATGAAATGGAACTATTCTTGTTATTGGCTCCAGGCTTTAGGGACAGAGAGCTCACAATTACCTTGGTCAGATGCTGATGTAGAAATAGAATTTTATGAGTTGTAATGAAATCACTCTGACATTAACCCTTTTGGTGGTTTAAAGGCAGAGGTCAGAAAAATTCTGTTCTTTCTACCCCAGATTTTTAATGCAAGGCTTAGTTATTCTCTTGAACATGGATTGGCAAACTACTTCCCAGGGGCTTCTTGCTTGTTCAATGAAAGTGTGATTGGAATATGGCCATCTCCATTTCTCTATGTTTGTAGTTGTTTTCATACCTTGGTGATAGAATGGAGTTGTTTTTAGACTATAACACCAGGAAAGCCTAATGCATTTACATTTGGTCCATCAACAAAAAAATTTATGATCTCTGATCAAAAATAGCACTGTTGTAGAACTTTCTGGTAATGATAGAATTGTTCTCTATTTGCCCATTATGGTAACTACTAGCTGTGGCTCTTGAGCACTTAAATGTGACTAGTGCAATTGAGGAAATGGATTTCAAAATTTATTACTTTTTCATTAATTAATGTGTAAATAGCTACATGGGCTAGTGGCTACTTTATGGAACAGCATAGGACTTAGACCTTTAGCATGCTATAATTTTCTAGTTTTTTTCTTCAATCCTATTTTCTTTATTTCAATTTAATTAGAGCAGCATGAACAAAAATCTTTAATCATTAAACAAGGAAATAAACTATTCTTCATTCATTTCTGAGAATATAGAATTTCTGTTTAAACAGCTTACATTTGTTTCTCTCTCTCTCTCTCTCTCTCACACACACACACACACACACACACACACATACACACACACACATACACACAAAAAACCCCAATCTACTACACCAATGTTTACCCAACTTCTGTGTATAAAACTTATTTCACATGTGGAGTCATAGGTTTTGTGCTTAACAGGAAGTCCTTTTGACCTGAAAAAATTTGAAATCTTTCGCTTCTTGGTCTTACATTGTTTGGTAGTCCTAGTGACACTGCATGTTAGGAATGTGAGAGAACTGGGATGTGGTAGCTGATGAGGTAGCAGCATCACTAGTTAAAAGTTAATTAAAATAAAACAAATTATAGTAAACAATTTGTAGAAAACTATTTTCAATATATAAAACAGTCCTTCACAATATAATTTTAAATGATTTTAAGTTATAATCCAATCTGTCTACATGAGATCACCAGCCATGCTGTAGATGCCAGTTAGTCTGTATAACAGCAAATACCCTTTTTATTCTTAATTGACTTATAGACATAAAACATGACTGAAAAGAACTGAAAAATGTAAAATCCTTTAGGCACAGAATAAATTGAATACATTCTTTTTAATCACCCATGTCTATATCTTTTATGTCATAATATATATAATATACACATACTTAAATTGACCAATATTCTAAGCTGTACAACATTATATAACTAAACTCTTTTGCCCTCTCATTTCTATGAATTATTTTTGTCCCGTTCATTCAAATTTGGTGTCAATTTCACTCCATAAACATTTCTTCATATACTTCCTAATGAACAAAATTAGATTTGGGGGGATCTGTTGATTTCAAAGACCCAAAGGGGAAGAAATTGAAGTGCAAAGGAAACTATTTGGATTCTCTTGAATCTCAAGAGTTTGGGGTCTCCCCATTGGTCATTTTTATAAAAGAAATTTCTAATCAGTTTGAAGTCATACCAAATTTTTAATCCCATCACTAATTCTTTGGGTCCTTTAGCAAGACTTATCACTTCTCTGGGTGTCTGTCCTGTACCTCTAAAGAAGAGCTGGAGCAGGAGATGTCTAATATTCCTTCCACAATTCTATGGTAAATTACTCCTTCCTTTTTTTTTTTGTCTCTGAATTCACTTTTGTTCTACAGCTCACTATTGTGTAGATTTTGTAATTGGGCAGTTTTATAATTAACTTTATTTTCCATATTGAACAATTCACACTCATCAAATTTCTCTTTAGAGGTTTGATTAGCAAATTATCCTTCCCAAATCTACATCTGTTTGTAAGTATACACATCTATTACTTCTTATATTCTTCAGTTAGTTTTATTTAGAAATTAGTGCCTATAAGGACTCATTATTGTGGGGTTTACCTTTTATTTGCTTAAATCTTTGATTACTGATTATAAGCAAAGGCTTCAGGTTGAATGAATTTATATTTAGAGTGACTGAGAGCAATTTATATTTAGAGTGGCAACACCAGTGTGAATAATTAGGAAGAGCTTAGCTCAACCCAAGGGAGCTGGTTTTCTTACATACCATCTTTATGAGTGTGCACATATTAACAACTAGAGCTTTTAAACTTACCATCCTGCTGTTCCTTAGAGAACTCGATCTGTCAGAAAGAAATTAATCACAAAGAATATTTTAACCAAACAAAAATGTCCTGATTTTTAAGTGTATCCAGCTCATTCCCTGAATAAACTTCAAAGTAAGCTTCAAAAGTCAGCCTACTTTTCCGAGTTCAGGCATAGCTTGGACACCAACAGGTTCAACCACAAAGTAGCATGCCTTGGTGTTAACTGATAGTCCAGAAACCAGACAGTGCTCTGCCCACATCTGCAACAGAGACACTCAAATCACTTACCCGCAATCTGGTCAGCACTGAAGGACTGCAGTGGCGAGAGAGAGAAAGAAAGGAACAACTAGTACTCTTTCAAATGCATTGACAGAAGGATTGCTCTCTGCTCTGAGACTTAGGAAGCCATGTAGGTGTCATAGCATAAGAAGATTGCCTTAGGGTACTTTTAAATCTAGGAATACAAAAATCTATTGCAAAAGATAATTAGGGAACATTTCTCTGTATCTTAAATAAGGAAACAATAAATGCTCAATCAGATACTTCCTAAAATAATGCAATAGCCTATGATATATTAAAGATATGCCTGATTAATAAATATGCATTATATTAAAAAATGATTAGCTGCATTTAAAAGACCACCTTAAATCTTTCTGCAGTTGCACCAGTACATTTTTATATTAGTATACAATACCGAAAGCACTGGAAGCAGTTTACTTGATTCTAGCTATCAGTATAACTGGGGTGTATCTTAGGTCATACTATCTTGCTATAGTTTCAGTTTCCCCCCTAAATTTAAATATCCTAAACTTTATATGATATAGTAAAAGCTGGTGAAGCATGAAGTACTACTGCTTTGGGAAGTAAGATGTATTTTTCCAGTTTGCATATTAGTTCTAATTAATCTCTTCTATCTTCAACATACCTCCCAAAGTATCCCAAAGTATCCCAAAGTAGAGTCTCAAGATTTGTTCTGGCTCTTTTCTCTCCTCAATTCCCTTCCTCCTTTCTGCCTCTTTCCTCAATAAGCTTCTCATCACTATTGCTATCCTCCTATGAACGACAAGTAGTTCTCTTATAGGACGCACCATGATGGAGCTGCTGGGCTGCAGAACGGGTCAAGCCTGAAGAGTGAGTTGAGGGCCGCTCCAATCCCTGAGTGGGGCCTCCTTCTCTGAGGCTTCCCTTTATTTCTGGGCAAACTGACCTCACTGCTAGCATCGAGTTTCAGAGAGAAGTTGCCCCTCCCATTGGAGAGTTCTTTAGCTTTCTTAGGGCAAAGGGAAAGAGGGAACTGTACCCTGAGGGCTATTTTTAGGAAACCAGAACCTAGGAGTGGACAGCCTTGGTGAGACGGAAGCCTGTCAGTACTTTTATGGTCTTTAGCTCCTGGACATTTGTGGGCAATGTCTTCCTTTAAGAAGCTTCTCTAGTGGCAGAGAAGCTCGGAACTTCTAATGGCTCAGGCTGACCCCTTCTCTTGGTGAATTATGGCCTTTGTGAACTTCTAGTCAACAAGCTTTGGTGCTAATGGAACTTCTTGGATGGGACTGGTTGGGGTTTCAAATGACAACTGCTATAGAAAGAACATCCTCTGAAGCTCTGTCCCTTATGGTAAAGTTCAGAGGACATGAAAAGGCCACATGCTCTGTGTCTGAGAATGCATTTAAGTGGCAATCTGTCAGTTCTCAAAATCCTCAATTAAACACCACCTTTTGCAAGTAGTATTCCAAGAGAATTAATCTAAGCAAAGAATAATTTTTGTCTCCATTTTCTAGCATTCTCTGTTAGTCTTCTGACTTTAGGTTTTGGGGATTTTCCTTCCTCTTCAGTAGTCTCTAAAGTGGATGATTTGTCATATTTTTTTTCAATTCCTGAAGTGCTTCTAGCCAGGAAGCACTTCAGATAGTCCATTTTTGTATCCTTCTTCTTATTCTATGCGTATTATTATTCTATGTTTAAAATTTAGCATAAGTTTTTACTAGATCATGCTGATTCTATTTCTGCCTTGAAACTTTATGGACAGGTCTCCAGAATGAGAAAGAAAGAACCCAAGGCAAAACTTGTGGAGTGCAAAATTATTCTTGAACGTTTTAGAGCTATCTAAGGACTTGGCCAGCAAGGGTTTTTATGCCAGACTATCTGAAAACAGTGGGAAACTCCCTTCTGGAAGGGTATTGGGAAAAGTGGTACTTGAAAAGATCAGTGTTAGAATGGATGCCCACTGAAGTTCAGAGAAAACGTTGGTCATTTTCTACATATTTAAAGCAGCTCAGGGGCATAAAAAAATGTTAGAGATGAATTGTAACTCAAGTATTGCTTCTGCAACTGTTTTCAAGGATGCTCATAAGTCTCTCCTGCGAGAAAGATACAAATCTGAAGCTAACCTACAAACCATTCTAGAAGAAATCAACATTTAATTAGGTATCACTTTTGGCCCAAAGTTTACAAGTTATGAAAGTTATCTCAGGATCTTGAGATTTGAATCCCAAAATCAGTATCTAAAATATCAATTTTAAGTTATTAGGAAAACATACCTTCATGAACAAATTGATATTTTGAAAGGTTATTGAGAAATGAAAAGTTAATAAAAGAATTCAAAATGCTTTGAATCACAAAGGGAAAATGGAAGAGGTCAAAGGTTGAAATTTATAACCTTTAGTAACTGTGTAACTTAGAATTTCATGATTTTTGATATGTAGAATATGTTACCTTTGTGCCTTTTTTAGTTTTGTAACATGTAAATGGGTCATAAATTTGAATTGCTCTGAGATTACTAGAACTAGCATATATTTTTAGTAGTGCTAATAACTATAAATACTACAATTAAACATAAAAGTTGCCATACTAGTCATAATAATCATTTTCCTATTTTGTTCTTTTTTTTAATGGAGAAAGATGTGTCCTTATATACATATAAAAATATGATTAGCATATATAAAATCTTCTGGGTAAACTAGAAAATCAATATAAAAATTGTACTTATGTTATGAATAAACCATCTCTAACCACTGGATATCATGTAAAGATTTGTTATTATTAAAATAGAAGCTGCAAAGTGATAGGCAGGTATCAAATTATTTCTCCCTAGTTTTTCCCCATATCTTTGTCACAGAGAAAAAAAGCTTCAGTTTTTTTGTACCTACTAAGAATCAAAATGTACATTTGAGCACACCATTTGACAATAGGGAAGCCTACCCTATAGCTTAAGCTAGAGAATAAACTGTGGTTTCAAAGTTAGAAGACCTAGATATTGTGCTCATAAAATAATCAGGAAATGCAATTTAGTCCCTGGTACACTTTTATGACCTACAAAGCATGGCCTGCATCATTTCCTGGGTGTTGTAATAGTGATGTAATTAGCCCTTTGAACAAAGGCACAGCATGAATCCACAAAGTCAGCTGATTTGGGCCTCCTTTTGCTATACCATCACTGTTTGCTTTAGAGATTGGCTTTCAATCTTTTCTGTCTGGCTTGCTTTCTTCTCTCTTTCTTTTCTTTTTTTTTTTTTTTTTTTTTTTTTTTTTTTTTTGGAAATTAGACATTCTTCAAGGCCCTAATAAAACCTCCTCCTCTCCAAAGCCATTTTCTCCTGGTGTGAACCTGTGTGTCCTGCCCCCTCTGCCCCTGCCATATTGCCTTTGCCTTGTTCCTAGGTTTTGTCCTTCACTACTCCTCAGGATAGTTTGTTCTGTTAAATGCTCAATAGATTTTCATTAAATTAAAGTCATTAGAGCATAAGTCTAGTAAGCTCTTCCTTTAAACTCAAGTTCCTCCTCTGGAGTATTCCGTTCCTTGGGGACAGAGACATTTATCTGTTCTTTTAAAAAGCTTACATTGTAAAGAAATTAGAAATGTTTTCCTTCAGTGCTGCCTCTCTAGCACCTAGAACTGCTGGCACTTAGTTTATCTCAAATTATTGCTATATGTACCTTTTATATATCCAATACTTTCTCTTAGATTTTATAAAAATTTTTATGAGCCAGACTTCTAATTCACCAACACTCAATTTTTCTTAAAGTCTCTCTCTCTCTTCAAATTCCTAGCCTATGTATTTTTCTTACAGTCAGTACAAGGCTGCATTGCACATTTTTATGACTCATGTACTAACATTTGTGGTTGGGTTTAAGTAAGTAGTAGTCTGAGACACTGCCACTAGACATAATTTTTATTCCAAAATTTACAGATTATTTTCTACTTTGGAAATCATATTTCTACTAGTAATCATGAGATTTGGATAACTGATTTAAGATACTATAGTCTCATATATATATATATATATATATATATATATATATATGAATGAAATTGCTTTATAAGGAAAATATTAATATTCAGTTAAACAGTCTCTGGAATTGATATATGTTAAAATTTATTACAGTAAAAGAAGAAGAGCTATAATTAAAGATAATTACTTCTTTACTAGTAGTATATGATGTTGCATACTAGGAGCAAATTCCTTAGGAAGGAGCTGGGACCACAATCTTCAAAGAACATCATTGTCCCTTGGGGGATAATGGAGACTGATGACAGGTAAGATTGAGAAGCTGACTAACTGAGAGCCAGTTTTCAGTCAAGAGAACATTGCTGCACATTCTTTGATTTAATGCCTGGCAGAGGGACCAAAGACCTGGATACATATTCCCCCTTAGAAAAAACTTAACCCAATTTTACAGGATTTCTAGAACCCACCATAGAAGGTCTATGGAAGTAATATTTTGTAACTCTTGGAATTTTATGCTTCAGAATAACACACTTAAATCAAAGGAAAAAATGTTTTCCTTTTTTATTAAAAAAAAATTTCAACAATGGATATATATAGGCTGGTTACTAGAAATATAGTAGAAAGAGGAGAAATTAAGAGTGATGCAATTATATTACCAGTCCAGGTTCTCTAGTACAGTTAGACTGTATAAATTGGTCTGAATTGAGACAGAATGCATAATTCTGTGCTCAGCAGACTTAAACCGGTGAACTGAATTCTGTCACCTAAGAGCAAAGGCTGACTTGTTAAAATAACACAATTCAGACCTAT